GTGACCACATTTGCGTAACAGGAAGGACGTATAGGTTAAGCCCTTATGTTTTCATCTAGATATTCGCAATCATTCAGAATCATCTCAAGTAGTCATTGACGTGGAGGATGAAGAGAAGTGAACCCAAATGTAAGCCATGAGATACACCCCATGTGAACATAAACGAACCTGGTTTATAGAATTAAATTTAACGTACGTGATGACTATTTTCGAGTTATAACATAAACGAGATGTAATAACGTCGTAGGCTAAAAAATAATAATAGTAGTTCATCATACCAAGTAAATTAATTTTTAAATATTTAGAAATCTTACAATGGTATGAAAAAAGGTCTATTTACGCGCCTTATGTGCCAATTAGGTAAAATTTTATTTAAGTAGAAACTTTGCGGATTACAAAAAATAACAAAATAAAACCACCTCCATTTTTCCTCCTATTGCATTTGTAAGATACTAACGGTTCTAACCGTATCCAGTTGCAATGAACATAAAAAACATATTTTTTCCTAATAAAGTTACTTCAGCGATGGTGCAAAACTGTCTAGAAAACGCAGAAAGTTCACAATGGCACTGTCCTTTATCCCATGGAGTTGGGTTTTTCCTTTTTCTTGAAAAGTGCATGTTTTGGATAAAAACAAAATTAAAAGATTTTAGTGTTTTTAGTAGAAACGTAGTACAAAACAGGCAAGACGTACTGCAAACTTTATTTTAAACAATTGTTAGTTGTAACAGTTACGAAGTGGAGAAGAAACCTTCAAAAAATCCAAGAGATGTTTAAAAATGTTGTTGTTTAATTAATAAACATGCTTTTTGGAATTAATTTTACAACTAACTGTGTAATCAAAACTCAAAGCTTTTGTTCGTACAATTTTGTTTATTAATAATTTCCTTGTTATTCTTCCTTAATGCAACCTTATTCCTATAATTTCAGCCTTCGACTACCAATTTATAACTACTGTATTTTTTTCATTCATGCTATATAAATCATGTATTTGCAATTAAACGGATGTATTTTTAGAAATATTTTCCTAACATTTTTCGCCAATTTGGCGTTAACGAGGGAGAAGACGAGGCCCTTGATGTGTTTTTCTTGTTATTTCAGCCTACCATGATTATAATAATGATATTGAGATCTAACGTGAAAACCCGTAAACATTATTTATTTTTTTTTTTACAAAAACGAAACAATTATTGTTATTATTAGCTTAAAAAAACTTGTATTTTGAAATGCCCTTGCACATTCGATTACGTAATTCACTCCAATTACATTCGAAATTTTAACTATGGGAACATGACTCTATAATTTTCAAAACTGAAAAAAATGATACCCCCGGGTTTTTTTAATATAAAACTTTTGGCGTTTTTATCTCCAGAATTGATAGGGAACCGAGCGGAAACTTGTTTAATTATTAATCACAGATCTGTCTCCTCAGTTTATGAGTTTCCTATTGAAACATTGAACTGTTTATGCCTAATGTGCAGTTTATTTGCTAGTTAATAACTCGTGGAATATCTGCTTTTATTTTTTTTTAAACAAAATCTTTTAATCATATTGACATATATGCACAGACAATGAAAGATTTCGCCCAAAATATTTTTGAAACGCTAAGAACCCTTCAAATGTTTGGATGAAAGATGTTTTTTTATTTTAGGAAGCTTTGGTGTTTTCATGATACTTTGTACTACGGTAAAACTAATAGAATTTTATGTTTTTTAATCGCTTTAGCGTTGATTTTTTTTAATAAATTTGAAAATCCTATTGGTTCGTCTAAAGGATCAAATGTGCAAGTTGGTTGAAAGAGGATGTGATTTTTAGAAAGCGGTGATGTTTTCATATTTTTGTCCACAGTGTAAAAATAACAAGTGACTAAATAAAAAAATAATTAATTAATAATATGCACAGGCACTGAAAGAAATTGGCCCAAAAGTTCTGATCGTGCCGAAGGACCGTTCAAACGAGCTGTTTGGTTGAAAGATGTTCTTTTATTCCAGGATGCTGTGGTGTTTTAATGTAATTTTGTGCAACTATAAAAAAAAAGATTTTTTTTACCGTTTTAATATTGATTTAAAAAAATGATTTAAAAAACCCAATAGAATCCTCGAAAGTATTAATTGTGTTCATTGGTTGAAAGAATTTCGGGTTTTTTTTAACAAGTCGTATTTCGTGTATGTTTTCCACGAATGTAAAAATAAATACTTAATACATATATTTAGTTAATACAATAAATAATTATTAAATGTTTTTATTCTACAAAGCTGTGGTGTTTTCTTGATACTTTGTTCTATTGTAATACCAATAGATTTTTTACCCTTTTAATATTTATTTTTAACAAAGTTTGAAAATTCCAAAAGACCGTCGAATAGATCAAATGTCTTCATTGGTTGAAAGAAGTACGTTTTTTTAGAAACCTCTGGTGTTTTCATTTTTTCTCGGAGTGTCGATGTTTTTGAAAAAAAAAAACATTTAAGTATGTCGGGTTCGAATGCAGGGCTGCTGGATTCGAACCCTGGACCTTCACCTTACAGTGATGAGCGCCATGTCAACGCCTAAACCGTTACGGCACCCTACGCTCCCTCGTGTTTTTGTTGTTGTTTTCCACGAATGTAAAAAGAAGTAGTTTATAAATAAAAAAATAATTAATTATTGGGTTGTCCGGAAAATAATGCAGGATTTTGGTATTAAACAAAAAAAAAGAAACTAGTTACTTTAAAGCAATGTTCTTTAATCAAAATAATTTCCCATACTCTCAATACATTTCTCCCAACGTGTTGGTAACTTATTAATTCCGTCTGAGTAGAATTCAGAATTTTTAGAATTGATAAAGTCAATAAATGCATTTTCCAGTTCCGTTTGATTTTTGAATATTATGTGTTGTAAGTAGTGGTCCAGGTGTCTAAAAAAATGGTAGTCAGTAGGCGAGAGGTCCGGAGAGTAGGGTGGGTGAGGCAAAGTTTCATAGCCAAGCTCCAATAATTTTTGTGACGTTACACGTGACACATGTGGTCGAGCGTTGTCATGCAACAAAATGGGCCCTTTCCGATTGACCAAAGAGGGCTTCATTACTGCCAATTTCTGATGCATGGTATTAATTTGGTTACAGTATGATTCAGCATTGATGGTTTCGCCAGGATTTAAGAAGCTGTAGTGTATTAAACCAAATGAAGCCCACCATACCGTAACCATTACCTTTTTTTGATGAGTTGGGGGCTTTGGAGCTTCTCCTTTGTCGAGCCACTGTCCAGAACGTCTAGTGTTATCGTAGAGAATCCACTTTTCGTCACATGTAACAATTCTGGCCAGAAATGGGTCATTTTTGTTTCGACAAAGAAGTGATGCACAAACATCAAAGCGCTGATTTTTTGGCGATCGTTTAATGAGTGTGGAACCCAATTTTCGAGTTTTTTCACTTTTCCAATCGCCTTGAGGTGGTCAGCGACGGTCGTTTTACTGACTTTGAGTTGCTCTGCAAGTTCTCGAACAGTTGTTTTGGGGTTTTCTTCCACCACTGATCGCAGAACATCATCATTAAGAGAGGAAGGCCTTCCACGACCTTCTTCATCTTCAAGGCTGAAATCTCCCTCCCGAAATTTTTTAAACCACCTTTGCACAGTGCACTCATTAACACAACCCTCGCCCCAGACTTGGTTAATGTTTCTAGCCGTTTGGGCTCCGCTTCGGCCGAGTTTAAACTCGTAAAAGAAAATCGTACGAAATTCTCGCTTTGACATTATAAGGATGACTGAATTATTTCCAAGTAGCGGAATGCTACAGAGGTAAACAAACAATATCATTTGGAAGAGGATTAATAAGTGTTGACATTCATACAAATGAGTAACCCGGAAAACGAAACAGAATATTTTATACAGATTTTTTTTAACGAAAACTTAAAATCCTGCATTATTTTCCGGACAACCCAATAATAATGTGCTCAGGCACTGAATCAAATCGACCGAAAAATGGATCGTTCAAATGTGCAGTTTGGTTTTTAAAAAAATTTTACTCTAGAAAGCTTTGGTGTTTTCATGATACTTATTGCTATTGCAAAATCAATAGAATTTTATGGGTTTTTTTATTCGTTTTGAATTTTTTCTGCTTGATTGGTTCAACCAACAGCCTTTGATGCTATAACAAATTAACGTTTTATTGTCTTTAAAAAAATATAATATACTTTTTCTGATAATCGTTAATAAAACTTATGTTTTGTTTGTAATTATATTAGCACAATATGCACAGGCACGGAAAGACGTTTTACCAAAAGTTCTGAAAGTGTCAAAGGATCGTCGAAATAATTATTCTTTTATTTATTTATTTTTTATTCTAGAAAGCTATGGTATTTTCATGTTTATTCTAAGAATTTTTATGGTCTTTTGGTAAAATTTATGTTTGGATAAATTTAAATACAAAACTATTCAATGATGTCGAAATCTATGCGCAGACATTGAAAAAAAATTTACCCAAAAGTTCTGAAAGTGTCAAAGGATCGTTCAAACGTGCTGTTCCGTCGAAATAATTAGTCTTTTATTTATTTATTATTCTAGAAAGCTATTGTATTTTCATGTTGAATTTTTATCTTTCAATATAGGTTTTTCCACTTGATCGGTCTATCCGTAAAAATTAACAATATTACATGCTGTGACAATCAGTGTAGTAAATATTTGTGGTTTTTTGTTTGTTTTTATGGTGCCATTGTTTGATAAAATTTACGTTTTGATAAATTTAAATACAAAACTATTCAACCATGTCGAAATAAATGCGCAGACACTGAGAAAAAATATTCCCAAAAGTTCTGAAAGTGCCAAAGGATCGTTCAAACTTTCAGCAATATAAAGCTTATTTTAAATTTCACGGCTTAAAAGTGGATACGCCCGTACTTTAATTTATTGTTTTCATTAGAAAAATGTCTAATTAATTTTCATTTATAAAATTAAATGCAATGGAACACTAACTAACATATCCAATGCAAATCACTGATTGTGAGTTATGGTTTATGTACGACTTACATTATGTGCGATGTTTCGTCGTCGAAGTTGAATCAAACTTGATACAGGGTGTCCCAGACGCACGTGGATACCGACTGCCTCTTCGTCCGTCAGGCTGTCTGGATATCGGGTTTAAAACTCCCCCACCTGCTGCAGATCTTCCACTTCTAGTCGGTCGGACGTCCTCCACCGGAACCGGCCCTTTTCCTTCTTTGTTGTAATGCAATTTGATTGTTTGTTTTCGGACTTAATTAATGGGTTTGCTACTATTTTTTTTCATTTTGAATATTCCAAAATAATTATTTTTTAAATTCCACGGCATAGGGAAGTGTTGGTCATGTTTTCAAGCGTTTCCAATTGTAGGCACAAGTGAAATAAACATACCCAATTAAAAATAATTTTAAAATATATATGTTTTGTTTGGTCCTTTTCTATCCAGTCAAGCCTAGTTATGTACGTTGAGAGACAATTGGTTTTGATATGACATAGCAAAAACATTCGACGCACAATTGTATCATTTATAAATTAATTACCTTCAAATTTTCACCATACTTGAATAAAAAACGTAATTTATTTTTAAAAACAAACCGTCGGCTTGCGATTCAGGCAACGCTAATTCTACCGGAAACACAGCCTCAGGCGTTAAACATGGCTTGATTCTCGGCCCTACTCTCTTTTGTAATGTCTGTAAAATTTATCTACATTGTTTTAGACTAAAAGATTCGCCAATATGCGAGTGTGCCAAACTGCAGAAACTTTGGAACGTGTACTCATGATTTATACTAGATTCGAAGAGCTTAGAGCTTATGACTTATCGTAGGAAACCGTCAAAATCCGTCCCGACGCCGCCGAAGTTAGGCTCCAAGGGCTTAGTTGAAGGTTCAGACGTTCAGTTAACATCAAAGTTAATATAATAATGTCATATTGTAATTGTAATTAACGTTTACATGCATGTTACTTCTGATTACTAATTTAGATAAGCTCAACTTTTCACGTATATGTACATACGTGTACAGAATCGGACTTCAGAGTTATCGCGGAAAGCCGTGAGCTTTGGATGCAATTTTTAAACCTAGACCCACTCACACTCTTACTCACTCTTAAATACATTCTTTCCTAAGTTAATACCATTCACTCGACTAGGGTGGTGGAATACTTGTTATTCCTTCATCACCTTTCACACGTCCATTAAATCTACATGTGGTGTATGATGGTATATTGAGTACCCCGTCAACTCCATAGTAAATTCTATCCAACTAGAAGAGATCAGATGCTCACCTAGTCCACAATTTCTACTTGTTATGTACATATGGTATATGATGGATTGAGTACTCCATCAACCTTCTCACACTACCCATTCACTCTAATAAGTACATTTACTCTTAATATTCAAGAAATGAACAAAATATGATATCTACCAAATACTGTAATCCTTTAATAAAACTGCCCTATTTCCCTCAAAAATCAGAACGGAGGACAAAAAGACTAGCCTCTAAATATAAAGAACCTAGAAAAGAAATATTTGATTAGCCTGCTGGTATAATTACCCGTCCATTAAATCTTGTTACTATTTTGATCCCACGAGACTATGAAGTTTGAAAATGTCGGTTTCATAAATTTATTGAAAAATCAGATATGCACAAGTAGTTGGGGTCTGCGTTCTTGAAGCTGTTATCCTTTGCATAGGGTTGGCTTCTGATTAATAGTATTGTGGACCTCGAGTACCATACTAAGGCCTAGAGCTATGCATGTTCAAAATTTATGAATTTATTTCCTATTATTTAATAGGATTTAATATTTCCTATTATTTAATACTCATTAGGAAAATACGTCTCCATCTTTCAAACTAAAATACTCACTATCAATGCTTTCGCTATAGATAATTTTAAAAGAGGCTACACTAGCAAAAAATCATCATAAGATCAGACAGCCCTAAAAGTATTAGCACGTAAAAATGTCACATCAAAATAATTAGTGTGTGCATCAAAAATATCACAAACCTGGGAAAACATAACAACCGTATAATATCGTAGATGCTAGTGCTCAGAGTTCTATGAAATGAACAAGCACACCTCTGCAAGACTCTCTGTATAGCCTCAGAACCTCTACTTGGGATAACAAAATCAAACAAAGACACCATCTGAGAATGGGTTTGTCAAAAAAGAAAAGACGAACTCCAGAGGTGACAGTAAACTCATGTTTAAAGAACCATCACCAGAACTGCACATTACTAGTTACACAGGGTAAAACTCAGGCCACTGACATCGGAGAAAACACCTACATGGGTATATTCAATGATGACCCTATTTGTGGGTTATGCAATGAGGAGTACGAAACAGCCAACCATATCATCTTCGAATACGAAACAACAGCTCAATCAAGACACCAAGAAGACCCAGGAAAAAGAAGTACAGCAATGACAGTGACCTACTATTTGTTAAAAGAAGTATCGAGACAAGTGGACTAAGTAACTAGGAAAACAGGTTGTACTATTTGTTAAATTTTGATCGAAAATAAAAATTGAAACTAGTTTTTACGTTTGCCAAATTTTTTAAAAGTTTTTCCTTTTAAGAATGTAGGCCATTTTCCGGATCAAGCGATAGTTGGTAGAGTGAAAACTAAAAGGTGGGCGCAGTAGAAAAGCTTTCAATTCTATCTAGAAAAGTTTTGAGCTTTGAGCTTTTGTGCCTGGAAATATTCCGCTTCGTTGCAGGTTTTCAGAATCAAGTTCAGAAATGTAAGAAAGCCTTCTACAACAACTCCTTCACAGGCAGCAGTCCTCAGTCTATCCATGATAAGTTTATTCTAGGCGAAGTTTAGCTTGCCACAGGGCTTACTCGGAGCTTATCTTCAAGCCCCTTTTCTAACTTAAACCAATGATTAGCCAGTGATTAATTCGTTACATGTTTCATTATCTTTGGTGAATTACAGCGCATGTTATAAATAATAGAAAATATTAGCAAACAACAAATCCTGATTTGGTTTATATTTAATTGTATATTCTTTATCGAACCATTTTTCTAACATGGCTGAGAAGTTATCTGAGCATTTGAGAAGTTCGGTTGAATCACACATTATTATTTGTTTTATTTGATATAATCAAATTTACAAATGCATTAAAATTGAACAAAGTGGTCATTAAAATCTTTATTTCCTTGCTTCCTTGAAAAATGACATTAGATTCCTCCAAAGTTTTCTATTTAAACACCCAATCTCTGAGAGTAATTTTTGAAGAAACTATTCTTCTTTCTTTATATTGCAAAAGCTTTATGCTTCATACTGTTTGAGCTTATTTTATAAGTACAGTGCCAGCCCTGAATATCAACTGTTCTCAGAAGACGGCTTAAGTTTTAACAAACATTCCATAAAACCTTTCAAGGTTTGTGGTTTCTAAACAACCTAAGGATGTTTGGTCAGAATCCCAATAAATAACACTAAATACTATAAATAACTAAATGAACAATAAATTTGAACAAATTACAAGAATTTACTTAGATGAAGAGGAACATGAGATTTGAGTGGTTTAAGAGAGCCTGTAAAATCTGATATTGCGGTGGGATGTTGAGGGCTTCAGGCCTGTTTAGGAGGTTGATGATGTCAGGCCACCATAAAAAGACTTTCAATGTCTAATTGATTTTATTTCTGACCGGTTTCGACACACACTCGTAGATACATCTTTGTAAGTGTAATTGACCTTGAGAATGACCCAGTGGGTGCCTGTGAAATGTGAGGTATGCGAGGTGATGAACCTGTGAATGGTGGGTATCTGTCGGTGTTCCGCTCCTATGAGCCTAGACAAGTCCTACCATCAGCTCTAGCATTCCTTCGCTTTCTCTCCTTACCCTCTTTCCTTCCCTTCCCGTCCCTTTCCTTTCCATTCAATTCCTCTCCTCACTCTCTTCCCTCCATTCATCTTCTTTCCTCTCTTTTCGTTAACTTGTATCTTAGCTAGAGGATAGGCCAACTGGAGTTGGAGACAGAGTGGGCTTTTCTATCTCTCTGGGGGTGGCTGAAAGCTTTAGCTAGAAGCCACAAAACTGCCTTTTTAAAAACGCATATATAGATGTGCTATTTTTATAGCATTTCTGAACCTGGCTTGCATTGCACGCAACATAGCGCAACCTTGCTTGCCAGGTGAAGACAAATACATGCATGTAAAATCTTCCAGGATAGTATCAGGTGTCTGAGAAACCTGCTTGGAAGTGAGTCTGGATGTTAGAGATTCTCAGTCTGATTCAACTCAATCTTTTGAGCTCTGATCAAGATGCAAGACTAAAAATATTTTGGCCAGAATTTCCTCAAATGATTTCAACAGTTTTCTCTTAAGAAATGGCATCAACATTAACAATGAACAAGAACAGAAAAAGAAATCAAGGACAGTAAAGGCAGAAATTCTACGAACATCTGAAGCTATATTTGCACAATAAGTCCCACAAAAATTTGTTAACCATTAACACATTTTCAAATGAATTTGGATTATGAATAATTTTGACTTATTTCACCATTATGATAGAATGTAAATGCACCTTAATTACAACTACCAAATGGTATAGGTTTTAAAAGTTTATTTCATATAATACACTAAAGACAAAATAGTGTTTTTATTTTTTAACCATTATATTGATTTTACCACCAATCAACCATTTTTACTTACCTCCTGATGTGTGCACGTTGTAGTACAATTGTGGACTGATATAGGTAACTGGATGAAACCTTAAAAAATCTATTTAATCCTGTTAGAGGAAAAATATGGCTGGATTTATTTGCTTCAACCCAGCGATTATTTTTCCATTCACTGACCTTTTTACTTGCTAATGCTTTTTGGACTGCTTGGCTCTGATCTTATGAGGATTTCTGTCAGTATAGCCTCTTATAAGTTGTATGTTTATTGCTTTTATTAGAAAGCTGACGTTGGATGTGGTCCCTCCTTCCAGAGACCGCATCCATCACATAGACTTGCTTGGAAATTTTACTTTCAACCCAAAATTCAAATTAGCCAACCAGGTTCTACACCCCAGAAAACCCAAAGGAGAAGATCAACCTCCCAGTACTCACAGCCCAACCAGATGTGCATGTCTGATTTTTCTATAAATTTATAAAACCGACATTTACAAATTTCATTGTCTCAATTAATCAAAATAGTAAAAAGATA